GTGCACTCTATGCCCTGCTTATGAACTTCTCATTTATTGGAATCCGTAATTGTCATTTTTTAGTTATTATTGTTTACAACAAATTGCCATTGTTATAAAAAATATACAATTGTTTAATCACATTCAATTATTTATAACAATATTTTGTTATTATTTATCGAATACAGTCGTAATAATGATCATTTAATAAATTAAAACCATTTTTAATTGTTTGTAACAAACTGTAAATTTTTATAAACACTATATAATTGTTTTGATTCATGTAAGGTCATTGATAATCATACTTTATTAATTTTGACCTTAATTTTTTTTTAATAACGTTAAAAATTAAAGAAGAGATAATAATGTTTCTGTAATAATATTGAAGCAGCTGCCATCATGTCTTGACCAGTTCAATTCCAGAATGAATTTTAATCACCTGATCAATCTTTTGTCACATTGATTTTTTAGTCTCTAAGTGAAATAGAGGAATTGAGTGTCTCTATTAATCCCATTGAAATTGACTGATTTCCTTTCTCAATTTCATCGTTACCATGAGCTATCGAAGACCGTCGAGCTACTACTAGTGAGCTTCAGTGCTGCAGGAGATGAAGTCTATGTGTATGCTGAAGCTAGATATGAAAATTGAGGCGAGATTCAATTGGATCAAACTTGCCGTCGATTTCCCTATAAATTGAGAAACGAACGAACGATTATCTGCGGATTAGAGAGACTGATTCTTAATTATAGTGTGAACTCGATCGAATGTATCTTTTTTTTTTACCTAAGAAATTAATTCTACAATGTGTGCATAGTTAATTAAATTCAATACAAATACCTTCAGTTCAAATTTACTTCAATTTCAATTGGAAATATCATAACGTTGAAGTAAAACAAAATAATTTGCAGCTTTCGATTTTGTAACTTTGATTTTCAATATTGAAAATAAACTACGATGTTTTTAAAAATTTTTTGAATGTATTTTTTATCAATTAAATAATTCAAAAGATTTTTAAAAACAATTACATTCATATGTAACAAATTATAAAAAAATAAAAAGAGCAATGAAGAGGAGTGATTTTTTTGCTTTTATTGAATTTACTTTTGTTGAACCTTTACAAAAAATTATATATTAACAATTTTTTTATCAATAAAAACTTTAAAAAAAAAGAAGAATTAGATTAATTCTGAGCATAAATATTTATCAAAATATTTGTTCAGTAGTCAAACTTTCAGGTGTGACACAAATAGGAAGTATACTCGTACTTGAACAAATCTTTGTGTTTGAACAATTCTTTTTATTTAGTTTCTTTGCATTTATGAAAAAGTATGGGGGTAAAGAGACAAGTATATAAATAAAAGGTAAGCGTGGCATTTGGTACCACGTAGTGGTAAACCGACGATAAAAGGGAATAAGGTCTAAAACGACAAGCGAAAAACAGAACCTAATCCCAAAAAAATACGTGACTAGAATTGCGTACTGTCTTTCGTTCTACCTTGACTTCTATGAGCCTTTCTTTCTTTTATATATATATATATATTTTTGTTCTTTTTACTTTCCTTGTTCTAATGCTTTTCTGCTATACTTCAACTTGTTTTTCTTTTACTTCCTCGCTACTTTGGTGATTTCCTCGTCGTTATTAATCACACGACATGATTTCAAATTCTTTTGCTCGTAACGTTCCTATTTCAGACTTACACGACGCAAAAGGAAAAAGTCACGCGATTTTGCAGATGTTGGATTACAGTGAAAATACCAAAATGGTTGATACTTTGCCAGTAAGATTGAATTTTTATCTTCATTTTTAGGATGATGTGTCGATTGAGATATATTTCTTGGTAAAAGGATGAAAACGGGTTATTCGGTAGAAGTGAGAAAACATGGTAGCAATGAAGAGTGAAGAGTTGGCGCGAGACCAATCTATATCAAGATCCTAACATTCATACGTCACTTGCTTGATACGTTAACTCGTCCTGCGGTTTATTTTACACGTCAGCCATCACTTCTGTTTCTAGATAAAAAAAAACCAAATTACATGTCACTATTACTCCCGGAACTTTGTATTCATCTTGACTTGAATTACTAAAATTATCCAACTTTCGTGCATTTATATGAAAATGTTTATCATCTTTCTAACTACGTAATATTAAAAATGACATAAAAAAAATGTTTCAAAGTTATTGAATTTTTGTGTAGAGTTAATTCGATCGTCAGATTATTTTCGATAAATATTTAAATTAATTCATGAATGAAAGTGAGAAACTGCGCTGACTAGATCATCTGCTAAGGATCATTCGGTTTTTAATTTACTTCAACTTGTGTCAAAGAAATCAGATCTAAATGGTTATTATAATATTGTTCATTTTTGATGAGATGTACATCAGATATTAGCTACAAATAAATTAAACATTTGTTACATCTTGAATAATTTTTTCTTTTTTACATATAAATTAATTAAAAAATTTTTTTCAATTGACATTTAGTTACTACTTTCTTAAAAGCAAGTAAATAAAAAATATTAGTATTTATTTAAATATTGATTCAAGTTATTTAAAAAAATAAGGTCTTATTGAAAAATTTTTTCTTCCAATTTTTGTTTACTGCATCGTATATTCAGCGTTGACAAAACACCATTTTTTACTGAGGGAAAGAAAGTTGGTTGTTTTGTTGCTTAGGGCAAAATAAATTCAATATTCCAATCCGTAAGAAAATACACTCCGGAGAAAGAGGAAAAAGGAAAGGGGAAGAAAAGTATAAAAAACAGTTTGCCTCAGGATAAATTTTACGAGATCGCACGTTCTTCTCCATCGACTTTGAGATCAACCGCGAGTCATTTGTCTCTCTTGGTTTCTCCCTCTCAGTATGCCTTGAAGTTTGCGAGAAAGAAATCGATCAGTCGTTAAAGCCAGTTTCTTCGAGGTCACGAAGTAGCATCAGGTATATTCTGTCTTCATTCTCCTTGAATGAAATATATCACCCTTAGTGAGATACTGCTCTTGTCTTTTATACCTCATAATTAAGTCATTCCGGCATGGCACCTAGGGTATAAGAAGCCAAGTATCAGGCTCTTTAAACTACTTCCAATGCAATTTATGCGCGGCTTGTAAAAGCAAAGCCGTATTTTATTCCTTACAATCATGTAGAGGATAACGACCTTATAGAAAAATAAAACAAGTATGGGAAAAAAATTAACTCTGTTCTTCGTATTAAATACTCTAGTTTTTTTCACGAATATTTGTTTCGATTTTATGCTGCTACCATCAATTAACATAAAAAAAAAATGCTTTCACATCCAATTATTTTTTATATTCTATCACTAAAAAATGCCCTACATTTTATTGTCAAATAAAATTTTTACTGGTAGAATTTCTTGAATTTATTCTAAATAGAAAAAAAGAGAGACAGTAGTTCAGTAGGGAAGAATCGATAAAAACGAGAAAAGAAAGTTTTTATTAAAAAGCTAATGCATCTAATAATATTAACAAACAAATATTCAACAGATTAAGTGAGCCGAGAGTTTTGTCAATAAACAAGGAAAAAAAGATGAAATAAAAATTCGATAAAAGTTTACTTTAAGAGTAACTTGAAGGAAAAATAAAACTTAAATCGATTCAAGCACTTTAGTAGCGTTTAAAATACCGGAGAAATTTATTATTAAAAACAAGAACTACTACCATCCTCTCTTTCAAAACTATCTTAATTCTCGTTAACTGCTTTATATCTCTTTCTCTCGACCGACGTGCTTTCAGTGGCTCTTCTGTGTTATACGTTGAAGAATTTCTCATCTAAATTTTCTCTTATCAGCTCAGTTAATCATTCAAAAATTCTTTTATTCTGCAAACAAAAGATCAGGTTACTTATGATTTATTATTGTCTCTCTAAATTTACTTCTCTCGAAATTGTCTGTTTTGAAGTTTTTTCTTTTATAATTAAAAGAATTAAGAAATAATCGTAACTATAAATAAACGAACAAAACGTACACTTTGTTTTTGCGTGAGAGCATTATGACCTCGTAAAGGGAACTTATTAAATTTTATATAAGTTTTATGCAGCCACCCCCGACTTATTTTTTCTCAGTCGTCCCTTCTTGTAACATCCAGCCGATCTGAGTGCCGAGATAGCACCAGCAAGCGATTCTACGCGAGGAGTTTTTAAGTGAACTCGAGATTAAAACGTCCTACCAGTTTTTCTCATATACTCTAGATTTTGCGGTGGTATTATAATGTACATTTAAGGGTAACGAAAAATAAATTGTGTAACAATGAAAAATAAAACAATTTATTTTTTTTAACTGAGGTAAACTTTTTGGATTTCGTGTTTTAAATTTTTCAGATTATTTCTATTTTCAAATGACATTTCAATTAGTGGTTTTTAAGACATGACACTTGAAAAAAAATAATTCTATTTAATAGATGTATAATAATGTGAGCAAGAATAATAATAATAAATTTCTATCACATGCAGAAAAAAGAAATTTAATAATATTCTATATTTTTTGGTGAAATAAATAAACAAAAAATGGTGTCCATTGGTTATTTTTTTTTTAATTTAAACAAAAAATATCCTTTATAAAATTTTTCAAAATATCAATGTTTTTAAATTATGAACAATATTAAATAACATCAATTTACTAAAAAAACTAATTATTTATTAGAAACAAAATAGTTCGAATATGAAAAATAATCGATTTGATTCCGATGTAATAAAAATATTTGATTTTGCTGTTTCTGCAACAAAACAAGTCATATTATAGTTTCGGAATAGCCTTGTTCCGGACAAAAAAATTCTGTCCTCATCATAGAATAGCCCTTTTCCTGCAGTTGGTATTGCTGTAGTGACAGGACAATGTCTTCTGCCTGCAATTGAGCAGTCACGTTACTACCATCAGAAAGTCCTGTTGCAGACACTGTTCTGTGATGCCAAAACATCACTATTCTATTGCAAGCACATTTTTTTTTATCTACATCACTTTTATTCAAAATCTCATGTGAAAATTGATTGTTTTTTTTTTTCGTTGCAGGTAAGAAAGCTTGATCGAATCTGATACATCCTGTTTTGTCCAAATAATTGGTGAGTTGCAAATAAACGAAAATCGTAACACTAATTTTAAATACTTCCCCTTAAAAAAAAATATACTTTTTATTTAACTAAAAAAAACTATCATATATTATTCATCGTAAATTTTTTGTTAAAGGAATTTTCTTAATTATTACTTTTAAAGTTTAATAATCGCTTTGAAATACATTTAGTACAATTGAATATAACACTCAAATATTCAATTGAATAATATATTAAATGCAAAGATGTATGTGATTTAAGTTGTGAACTTAGTGAGACGTTTAATTATTATTCAAAGCATCACAATGAGAGTAAGTGATTTTCTGTGAAAATGTTAAGGGGAGCTAGATTCAATCACCATTCAACATCATTATAATACCTAATTAGCCGTGCCTACACTATTCTACACACTCTACGACGATACGACAAAGATTTCTCTATGCAAACTTTACTCTGAGTGTCTTGAATTGATTATTCTCCTTGCAAACTTTCGACAATCATGTTAAGTATTCACCTGTATGCAAAATTTTTAATAAACTACATACGTTTAATTATTCAACAGCATTCTTACATCTGTAGTTAACCACATTTAAGAAATCTTATGACGGTTGTTAAGTTGTTTGCAACTTAGAACTTCACTAATCTACGAATAATTTAAATGCTATTCACTTTTAAATCCTTTTATTTGCAGTTACTTTTTTTTCTTCCTTTTATTTATGATTAAAATGTAAAAATAGTCCAATGGTTCTTTTTTTTTTCTATTCTGCTGTACGATGTTATATTTTTCAACCCAGATATCGTAGATAATTGAAAAAAGTTTCAGTGAAATTGAAACACATTTTTCAACTTGAACATTTTTAATATGCTTTCGTAGTTAGAAAAAATATGTAAAATTCATTTACCTTATTTCTATTTTGCAAAGTATGTGACCTATAAATATACAGAAAAAAAAAACGTGACAACTATGAAAAAAAATTTGTGCTTGACATGTTACACATTGGTGTTCAACTCTCAAGAATACGACTATTAAATAATTAATAATTTCGGGTGCTTTCTTTTTAGGAACACAACAAGATACTGTGTATAGAACAGTGTAGGGAATTGCATGCAGATTGTTATCTGAAATATAAAGATTCAATTCTCTAGAACCAACAATCAAAAATTTTCTTTCATCATTTTCTTTTTTTTTACCATTTATACACGAATATACAAAAATAGATGTCTATTTGATTTTTTTCTCAAAAGAATCAAATAGATATTTTATTTTGACATTGATTAGTGTTTTATAAAGTTTATTAAATAGTGGAAGTGAAGCTTGTAAACTAGAGAATGGACGAGAGAGGTAAAGACAGAGAAGTGAATGTTGAATACGATGGAAACGACTGTCAGATGCCAGGGAAAGATAGATTGATGAGAACTGCATTCGCGTGTTGAATGTTTGGGTTTACTCGGTTGTTTGGTGCGCTCTCACCCTTTCTAGTAGCTTCTGTTACCCTTCAAAAGCTACCGCCGCCCTTTAATGTGAGACGATCACGACGGGATTAAACTGTCAATTTGACAAACTAACTGAATCGACAAATCGATTACCTCTTGACTGTTCATCTTCGTGTCTGTCTCTCACTTGACGTAACTCACAGAGATTTTTTCCTTTGATTGTAGTCAGAGTCCAAATTATCTGTAGAGCTTTGCACACTTGTCACTACGGAATTTCCTGTCATTGAGCTTTTTATAAACACTGTTGAAGTTTAAAAAAAAAACACTTCTAACTGTTTGTTGTGCTCAATACGATTATTTAGAGATGTTTGTTAGGTTCTATTGACATTTAAAATATTTTTTCGTCATTAGAGTGATTTTATTAATCAATAGATAATTGAATGTTACAATCAGAAGTTAATAAATAAACTTACATTGTTCATTCGTTTGAATTTTATTCCAATCAATGTTACAAAAAATTGGCAGCAAGTTACAAAGTCACTGTAAATTTAAATGTTATAAAATAAGCTCTATAGAAATTAGAGGATGGCTTAATTAAGGGCCATATCAACAGTTAGTCTGATTGAAGCTTTCATTAGCAAATGACTTTCAATTTTGCACTCTCTTTTTCATGATTAAAATTTTAATTTTATTGATAAATATTCATGTAAATTAAAACTATCATCAAAATTGTAAATTATGTTAACAATGTAACACTCATTGAATTATTTACATAAATTTCATGAACAAAAGCATTTCACTCTGGTTATTAAAATAGATAAAATGGCAACACCATAGACTGTTTAAAAATTAAATTTTTTTCTCCTAATTATTGTTTTGAATACAAATACATTTTTAAAATTTAATATTCAAATAAAAAAATAATCGTTCAATTGAGGCTCACCATATTTTTTTCTCTCAACAAATAGTGCTCTATTCTCCATGAATTCGCAATAAAAATACACGAAAGACGGAAATAAATATGAAAGAAATAACAAAGAATGTACGGGCATGGGGCCAGCCAGAGGATCCCATGCAAATCAATTCGAGCAAAAGATACAGGCGTGTTAGTGATCGAGCACAAGAAGAAATACGAACGTAAGGAGCGAGGAGGTATGGAAAATCACACCCGAGAGGGAACCAGGAGTGCGCAGTGTAAGGTGTGCGACTGCATTATACCCTCTATCGCCGGTTTATGCAGCCATAAATAGCTTTTATACGCTCGGTAAAGTATTCCCGAAGCACAGTCTTCGGGCCCTGGCTTCCCGCCTATCCACTATCTATTCTATTATGCTACGACTTACTACCCGAATACCTTCACCATCACCCTCTCAACGTCATTCTTCTTCAACCACTCCACCAGCTTCTTCAATGCTTTAAAACTGTCGAGATTTTTCAATCCAATCGAAGTCTTTTTTCCCATTTAAGATTCCTGTAACATTTCAGAATTGCTATAAAATTTAGGTATGAAATTATTTTTGCATTATTTGCAGCCATTCTAAAAGGATTACTGTTTTATCGGTACCTATCTAGGGTAAAGTGAATAAATGTAGGTCGTCTTCGATTTTTCTATTCAAAAATTTAATATTCATCTGATATTCATTATTTTATTTATTAAGTGCATCTTTTTTGTTCATTTGTCAATTTAAAGTGATATTTTAAGATACTTAATACAACTCAAGTGAAATTAAATAGGCTCAAAAGATGGCCTAAAAATATTTCTAAAACTTATAAAACAAAATGAATTTATTATTATATTAAGTGTGAAAATATAAATTGATAATAAATCGGATTAATTAGTTATATTATCTAAATTAATTATTAATCATCTTTGAATGATTCAGTATGTTTTAAGAACTATGTCATCATTATTCCCACAAATATATTCCCAGTATTTTTTATCCGACAGTATTACCTCCATAAGAATTTTTTGACAATATTTACATTGAGAAAATGAAGGAAAAGAATTGAAAAAAAAGGAAGATATTGGATAGCAGGATTACCACAAGACACGCGGCCTGGCGTGTCGACTTGGATACGAAGTGAGGCTACGTTAACTTCCGACTATATTCAACAGACTTTATTGAAGTCCACCCCTGCTACTCGACCACATTGAGTAGCTTCGAGAGGTCGGTACATTTTAATGCTCTGGCATTTCACAGGGGCAACGAGTTGCTGAAGAGAAAGAGAGAAAGCGAAAAAAAAAGGAAGAAAGAGATCCTAGTTGAGTGAGAGTGAAGAAGAGCATGAAATAAAAAGAGAACGAGAGACAAAAAGGATATAAAAAAAGTGGTAAAGAAAGAGAAGGTGAATTATAAGCTAGATAGAGAGCTCGTATTCAATCTAATGCATTCTTGCGATAAAGTTTATTGCTGTGTTACTTGCGTACGTCAAGTCTAGATCTATCATCTACCCCTTGTTGGCTCGTAAGTTTCACAAACCCAAGCACCAGGAATATGGGGGTGCAATACCAACTAACTCCTCTGTAGGGTGAGAAGTTGTATTTCTACTTTACTCTCGTGTACATTTAAAACTCTGTTTCTATCTACTCTAACTTATTCTGTGAGATTTTACAACCCTTGTCTGATTACTCTCGGTCTTTACTACTTCTTTACATCTTTTATACACGGAAAACATCAGTACTTTCCTAATTACTACGATTATAATTATTACTACAACTTAAATGATTTTCATTTCTATTATCAGTTTTTTTTATGTTTACTTGAAATTTCCTTACACAACATTCATCTATTGATCAATTATTTTTTTATAAAAAAAAATCAACACCAAGTTCATGACAAATTCGGAAATGTTCAAGTGTATAGTAATGAAATACTTGGATTTATTTTTAAATGCAATAAAAACCGAAAATATTTAAGCTGTGATATGATATCAATGACAATTGAATACCACAGTTTATTTTTTAAGAATTTCAGGAGGTACTATTGACGAATTTCTTCTGAATCAGACCAATACGATAACGATTGACTTGTTAGAAAGAGGACAGGGACACAAAGAGGAGAATTCCGAATTCAATTCCAGGCAGAGCCGAAAATTCGATCCGTGATGGCATGGTATGGGATAGCATTCTCCCAGCTATCTTCGAGCGTATGAAATTTTGATTATCACTCTAAATAGAAAACGATAGAAATAACAAGAGTAAATAGTTGCAGAAATAAGTGAATAAATAAATAATGTTGGTCGTGACAATAAATTTTTGCTTCTTTGTTATTTTATTAATTTGTTTGTACTAGATATCCATTGCAATAATTAATTATTTATTAATAGAATTTTTTTTAGAATATTATTTCGATAAAAAAATCATTTAGCTTCTTAAAATATATTATCCAGTTCATTTGTTTCTCCATTTTATTTGGTATATGGAACATACTGAGTAAATAAAATATAGTGTCTTTTTCTGACGGGGAAAAATAGGAGAGAATCGTAAGTGATATTAATTGGATGACAAAATGTTTTTGAAATGTTTTCCATCAAATTTCTCAACATCTCAGGTGTCACGGAAATTTCGGGTTGTGTTG